GATCCTGTTGATCCTGGCTCTGGTGTTGTGTTCAGAAAGCTTTAATGCAGCACCCCTGCAGTAACACAGCATTTAAAGGCAGATGAGCAGGAGAAAAGTTGAATTGTTGCAATTACACCTGTATATTTTACTTTTTATTTTGTATTTATCTCAGATAGACTGACAGTCAAGTGACAAGGTCTGTGTGGTGGCCAGCTGGTATTATATTAAGAACCAGTGAACTTAAACAGAACCCTAAAAATACAGGCCCTATCTTGCAAACACTTTGGAATTCAGTAACAGTAATGAAGTAACTGGATAGACTCTCGCATCCCTGAATTTTGCATATATAGGGAGTGGGAAATAAATGAAGGAATGTATCTGTGTTACTGAGAGCTGGCAAAGATCTGTGTAGCAGCATCTGTTTTATAGTTGTTTGTGCAGCAGAGACTCAGACTGCTTGGAGGTCTTTTATTTTTAGGCACCAGGGCCATTTTGTCTCACTTTTTTTTGAGAATGAGGTAGAAATACATTTTAAGTATTTGAGGATATAAATCCTAGTGTTCAAACTTCATTTTTCTTTCTCTTTTTTTCTCAAGGTTCTGCAACTGCTTTATGCAGAACTTTGAGTTGGAGCACTCATTCTTGAAGATTTCTCATTGCTTTTCTGCAACTCTGAAAGCAGAAAATGTTTGTCCTTTAATTGTTAAATTCTTATAATTGTTTATCATCAAAGTGTAAATCAAATACTGCTCATAACTCTGGGCTGAATTGGCTTTAATGAAATTTCAACAGCAGATGATAGTCAATTAATGAGATGTTGAGAACAGTAAGTTTTGATTTCAAAGTTGGTACTTTAATATTGACCTCTAGTATAGGTGTCTAAAATATTTGTTCTCTCAAGGGCTTGGATGAACTGCAAGGACAAATTCTCCTTTTGAGCCAGCTGTACAATAGAAACTTCTATGAGTGTGTATAGACTTGGATCAATAGTCTTGAAACACAATTTTTTCTTTCTGTGTAAACTAGAGACTGTAATGAGAATTAATCATTGTCTTCCTTTATCCATCCAGATGTTTGCTCAGCTGTTGTGGAAAGCTTCTTCACTTAAGCAGATGCTGTGATAAATGACCTGTGAAATGGATGTGATACTTTTTTTTTTCTTTCTCTTTTTTCGTTTGTTATGAGGAAATTATGTTAAAAAATCCCAAAACCCACAACCCCCCCAAAATCAGCCCAACACAGAATTATTTTTGGTTTGAATATAAGGCCAAGCAAACAAACCTGAGTATGGAAAACTGATACCATGAGAAGACTCCTAATTCCCCAGCATCCCTTCTTTTGGGGTGTTTGCAGCGTGCATACAGAGGGTTGTGCTAAGAAGCTGAATTGCTTTATTTAGTTTGCTCTGAGTACAGAGGGCTGTCTCTTACAGTTGTCCACAGCAAATCAGGTGGCTCAGAGGCTGTTTAATGTTGCTGTTGCACTGACTGGAACATGAAGGTGAGTAAATGGAATTGCATGCTGCACTTGGGGCGCGGGGCAGGAGAACGCAGCTCTGCTGTTTCCTGAGTACCTCAGAGCTGCGCGTGGAGTGGGATGTTTTGGCACAAAAATGGCTCATAATGGTGTGAGCTGTGTGCCGTGCTGAACACAGGCAGGTAAATTCTGTGTCTAGGGATACCTGAGTATTCCAGGATTGTGTTTAGTCAGGGGCTGAACCTTGCTTCAACGTTACCAATTGAGGTAGTTACAAAATTACCAGGCTGTTTGCTGGGGTCAAATAGTGGACCCTACAAACAGCAGGATTTCATCCTTTCCCTGGTTTTAACTTCTATTTCTGCAAGTAAAGGCACTTGAGCACAGCTGATGGCCATGTCCAGAGTCCTGTGGGAGCCTTGCCTCCTCTACTTGGGCTTTCCCATTGCTTGCAAGTAGTGAATAGAGGTGGGCAGATCCCGTTTGCTTGGAAAGTCCTCTCAAGTTTGTGCATCTTTCCTTCTGTGAAACAGAAAGAGGTGTTCTTTTTCTAGCATTCAGTGCTGTTGTCTTCTGCAGCCTGTAGGCATGAAAGACTGATGAAACAGGTAATTTCTTTATAGAATATTTTAAACAGTAGATTTGTAGTAGTTGTTTTGAAGTAGACTGAGAGGAAGAGGCTCAGCATAGGCTGGGCTATGATAACTTTGTGCTGCTGAAGGTCAGGTTTCTGTTGATCCTTGTTCATGTACAATGTCAGAAATCTTTCAAACTCAGGATGGGTAGCAGGAGGGAAAACCTTTTTTGCAAACCAGCATGTTGAAAATCAAGGCTATTGTTCCTGTGACGATGAAAACAGATCTTCACCTGATACACAGAGGGCTGATTTCCTGTAGAAGTTCTTAAAGACATTCAGACCAAGTGTCATGTCCAGTCACAATTACGTGTCTTGTCACTGTGGAACCAGAAGACTGACCTTACTGACTTGGCTTTCACAATCATTTCTACAGAGCTGACTTCATTCCTGGTTTAAAAATTACTTGTAAATACATAACCCTGGGGTTTAGATTTTCATGGAGGTTTTTAAAATATTTTATTTTGTGCTGGTGTTTTTATCAACAATGGTTTGTACATCTTAAAATTGCTTAAACAGAACCAGGGAGTAGTGGCCTGCAAGCAGTAAAGATCTGTTTCTTCTGTGTTGGAATAGTACATGGTGCAAGATGTTACTCAGCTTCAAAGCTGTACAGAATGCCAGTGGTGGCATCCCAGCAGAGATTCTCCCAGATAGCAGCAGCACAGTGACTTGAGGGGAAGCTGCCAGCTGTGCTGATCGAGAGTGTAGGCTGGCCTGGTGGTACGTGATACCAGCCATGTCTCAAACACTACAGGGGCACACTCACCTTGTTGTGCAAGAGATGGCCTGGGGCCAGCTGTTCTTTTCATGTCAGTGTTCCAAATCCTGGTTCATTACATCCAAGACTTCGTTTAGACAGGGGTGGGTGGAGGTGGGGGTTGCCCAAGATAAGGCTGATCAGTTGCCTCTGATCATCTTTGATCACAGGTCTGTGAAACATCAGCACTTCAAAGTAGTTTCATTAAATGCTTGTGCAGGATGAGTACTACATCCCAGTCTTAGCAATATCACTGGATTTTGGGACAGCCATTAGCACTGCTGTGGAAAGGAAACAGTATTATTTGCCTCTTCAGCATCAACTTGCTGACAATTAGTCTTGATTTTTTTTCCCTTCTGCACAACTGTGCATTCTGGAGGAAAAAAAAAAAAAAAAAGTGGTATGCTTTAAAGTCAAAAACCAGCAAACCCAGAAATATGGAGTCCAGTGAATGATTTCCACACAATATTAATATCTTTTGTTTCATACCTAGAGTCTTTCCAAGATTATAAATGAACCCTACTAGACTTTGTGCTCAGTGTATTTGTTGCTAGACTGAATCTAGAATTCTCCAGTAGTTTACTGCTGACCTGGAGATCTTAACATCCCTTCCCAAGGAAGGTAACAGGATCTGTATCCTTGTGAGTAGACAGGTTTGTAAAATATCCTGGTTTAGCACTGGCGCTGTGCAGTTTTTGGATGCATTCTCTGATTTCTGGCCTCAGTAAGGTGAGCTGGCTCTTCCAGTTCCTTAACTTATCTGTCCTGCTGTGTGAGTAAGGCACAAGTGATTGAACGTGATCAGCATTTGAGTGAATCAGCAGGGTCTTATGCAAAAGAAGGTTTGAGTTGTCATCTCACAGCTCCATGAATAGGGCTGTGAGGAACTCCTCATCTGGGGAGAAGTTGGTAGAAGTGGCAGAATTCCAGTTTTAACAACTGTCACTCCCTTTATTCCTAAGAACTGGAAGGATTTTTCTCTCTGTTCACAAAAATGTTCTCAGGACAATGATTTTTCCTCAAATGCCTTTTGTCCATTTCATAGCACTGCTGCTCAAGTTTGGAAAATTCTGCAATATCTTTTTTCAGTAATGTGCTGAAATGCTCATCAATGTATGTAGGCCCCCTGCAGCCCAAGTTTCTCAATCTCAAGGGCTTTGTACCAAAACCAGGCCTTGAAGTCAGACCTGAAGTACTTTTTTACAGTGTCTTGCATCACTTGTTATCTGTGAGGAGGAGGGTCAGCAGTATGGGTAGGACACAGATAAAGTTTGTTGCTGTGGCCATAAACCTACCTGTTCCTAGCAAATTCCCTAATGCTGATGCCCACAGAAATGCCCATTGCCTGTGTGCAGCACATACTCTCATTTCACCTGCTCCCATGTACCTGCCCCTACAGACTAAAACGTCTCTGGTGTGTTGCTGTGTCGCTGGTCCTCACTCTGGAACAATATTCCTCTTATTTGCTGGTGAGGGGGATGGCATGAATTTTTTCTGTGGTCTTGAAATGTTAGTTCTCCCTTACCAGTAGGTTCTGAGCTTTGTACGTTCACATTCGTGAATGTGACTGTGCCATGTGACTGTAACTGCAGAATGAATACTTCTGACTATGTATTCTCATGTTATGTGTTTCAGCAGCGTATGTTGAAACTGGGACAGCTTTTGTGTTTTTTGATTGTACTTTGTCTTCCAGGAAATTGGCACTAGAGTTAAAAAGTAGATTTTGTTGCACATTCAGTTGCTATTATGGTTGCCTGAATGCAGTTCTCGGTTTGATGGAAAAGAAGCAGAAATGCCTTATTTGCAGTACTTACCTGAATCTGGGATTGAATTATTTTCTACTTCTGGTGCTGGTGTTTATCTTGGCACCTTTTTGGTCAGGCAGAGGGAAGTCAAGTATGTATGCAGGAATGTAAGATGCCATCTACTCCCCTTTCCCCACTTAGAAGGATATTGAGAGAACAAAATTCAAGTTAAATGAGACCTATGCTAAGGAAAGTGCTACATCCTTTCCCCTGATCAGGAAAGGTGTTGGGAAATACTGGGCGTATCTTTGATCTGTTTTCCAAGAGCTCAGCCTAGTCATCTGCACATGGGTGGAGAGGCAAGAGGTTCCAGCTGCAGCCCAAACCAATTCTCTTTAAGATGTGGGTGGCTGGAGGCTGTTTGATGTGCAGACAATAAACACTCTTTAAGTGCTTTTTACATTTGTTAATAATATCACCTGTGCTTTACATTGCTTTTCCCCTCCTTGTCCGTGTTTGTCCGTTTGAAGGACAACACTCCTTCTCCAGTTCAGTAATGGTAGGCTCCATGTGTTGCAGGTCACATGATTTCATGACATTTGTGTGTGTATATATATGTGAGATGCCTGGGGACTCTGCTCAGACTGCGCTGAACTTCCCTCTTCAGAGCCACTCATCATTTCAGAGAAGTCACCTGCCACCATGATGCCTGGGGGCTTATCTGACACCAAGCCAGCTACACCAGAGGTTCAGCAGCTTGTTAACCAGGTGAGTTCACCCTGTCTCTAGACTAAGTTACTTGTGTGCAAAGAGGCCATTCCTGAAGCTTGTGTAAAGCCTGGGTGACTAAGCCAGGTTTTAAACTGAAGAAGCTCATGCTGAAAATGGGAATCCCCTTGATTGGCAGTGTTTTCTCATCATTCTGTGTAGGAAGTGCCTTGGTACGACTGAGACAAACCACTTCTCTGTCACCTCCTTGTCCATGGCCAGGCATGGTACTGGCTACCTTCAGTGAATGTCTGTGTGAAGTTCCAAGCCCAGCTCTGCTATGCCAGCAGTGAGGTCACTTGTTTGTAATGAGAGGTGGCATATTGGAAGGGAAAAAATTGTACCTGGTAGGATTCACTCCTTAGTGAAGGACTGCATAGGACAAACCACATGCTAGTATGCAGTAAAGAATTATCTATGCAGGACAAAGCTATTTTTAAATTGTGTGTTCCCTGCTGGCATTAAGTGTTTTCTAGAGTCACAGCTGTGATACAGGGGCTGCTGGTGGGGCGAGGTGAGCTTGGCACAAGGCAGGCCAGTGAGTGAGCCCAGTTGCCAGGTGGTTGGATACAGGCAGTGGTCCTGTCCTGGAGCAGCTGTGTAAGCAGCACCTCTGCAGATCCTCTAATGCCCTGCAGTGCAGCAGCTCTTTTTAAAGAATAGTATAAAATGCATCCTGAGGAATGAAAAGGGACAACATGTAATGGGAAAACTCCCATCATACGTTCCCACCCACCCAATAGTCTTTACCCTTCTGGCTCTGGAAGATGAGCTCTTCTCCCTTTGGCAATTGCACTCAGGCACTCCTCAAAGAAGAAACAAAAATAGGAAGTAGCAGGGCTGAATGCATTGGCCAATACAGCTGCACACTCGCTATTCCTGATGTGCAGGGCTCCCAGCTCTCTCCTTTGCTGTGCCACCAAGGACAGAGTTTGCACCAGCATCCTTCCATGTCTTCTGTGATCTGCAAGCTGTGACCAGGCAGCCAATAACTCTGTCATGGCTCTTTTCTGTAGTCCACAGGTGGAGGGGATAAGGTTTAACATCCATTTTAATGATTAGAAGATACTCCGTTTTACAGGAGGAGGCTGATTTAGCAAAGTGATACAAATATACTGGTAACTTGATACAGGTCTAAGTTACTCTTAGCAAAATGTATTGACTGCAGTCCCGGTTCCCTTAGGATACCAGCGTGTTCTTCACTCCTGGTCTGTACAGCATGCTCTGTCAGGACACTGGGCATCCTCAGTGACTGGAAAGGGGGATGTGGGTTGAAGTCAGCTGTAGCTAGTGGTTTTCTTCAAAATTCTTTTGTCCAACCATTTAGTTTTTATACTCAGGATTGGACAGAACCATGTGTTCACTCCCCCCATACTGGTCCGGCTAACTCAGGGGTGTGTTCTCTTTCTTTGATTGAACTCGGGGAGTTACACCACCACATGATCCCCTCCACTGACAGAGCTATTTATCAGAAACACCTTGTTGTCAACCTTTGTGTTGAGATAAAATCAACTTATTTGCAAAGCTGTGGTCAGTCACATCCTGCTTTATTCCCTGGATTTCATGCATAGCACGTCACCCTCCCCAGCTCCTCCGAGCCTTCTTCCATTGCAGGGCTTTACTGGTCAGTCACAGCTGGGGCCACCAGAGTTGGGGACATGTACATGAGGGAGGGCTGGAGTTTGGGGTAAGGGGTTAGTCAGAGATGATTTACTGCAGAGCAGAAAGACAAAATGGATGATCTACAATTGTTTGAGGGGCACTGACTGAATTACTTGGGAGCAGTATTACTGCTCCTTCTATGCTGACAGGAATGTTTGAAGGAGCAGCACTTGCAGAGATCAGAAATTCCCTTTTACCTGTGGAGGAGAGACTCTAGCAAGGGACTTGTAGCACCTTTGTGTATTTGCCATTCTTGCTTCCTCATGTTTAAGATGGGGCCAGCTGAGGCTGTGAAATTTAATTAATGAGTTTGTGAAATGCCTCAAGCACCATGCCAGATACTGAGCTTCGTTTTCAATGCTGGGCTGTGTTATTTATGGGTCATCAGAAGTCTTGCAGTGTGTATTGGAGGTGAAACCACAGCACCTGAGTTGGTGAGCAAACAGGTACTTGAAAATGTGAATGCTGGTTTCAGGCAGTGCTAATGCTCCCAGAGTACAGGGCACATATGAGATCTGAAATGTGCATAGCACAAAGTTTCTGTTTGATTCCAGAAAAGGACTGATCCTAATTTTAGTGTTCTTTTGTTCTCAGTAGCTTCAGGAAGATGAAAAGAGATTGTTCCTTGCTCTTTTATTTTCTGCAAGGTGAAATTTCTGCGCTGTGCTGAGAGCAGGAGAGAGAATGCTTCCTGGTCCTTTTCCCCCCTGCAGAAGCTTTGCTATAATTCTCTAAGGAAAATATTCTTATGGAAACCTTATGTTGGGGAAATCCTGCCATCCTTCCAGCCTAAGTGTCACCCTTTCATGAAGCAATTCTTTGGGCTTTTATGCTCTGCTGAGCAGAGAAGCAATTCCTATGATTCCAGTGAAGTTGTGAAGAGCTTCTGCAGAGCTTGGGATGTGCAAGGTCTGTCTGCTCCTGAGATTATGTAATTATTTACTTATACCTGTGCTTTATCTCTAGCCATCATTAGTGAGCTGAGGAATGTTATTTATTTGGTCTCCTTGTTTTACAGTTGTTGCCCAAAACTGGGGAATGTTTTGGGTTTAGGATGTGGTTAGGTAAGAGCTTAGGAATGTTCTATTTTTTCACCCAAGGATTAAGGAGCTGTTTGGCTGGTTGATTTTACTGAAAACTCAGTCTGTAAATAAATGGGGGACATAGTGGTCAGAGGAGAGAGCAAAACTGGAGAGAAGTGGCTTTGTTTTGTTTTGTTCTGAGAGGGGAATATGATGCACCAAAAATTGCCACTTAGGAGCACTCTAGGAGGCCCCTGCCCCAGTCAGATGGAAGGGTGTTGGGAATTAAAATTTCCCTGGTTTGCCTGAGTTAGCAGCTCCTCAGCTGAAAGTATCATTGTCAGTTCCTGGCGATAGAAGCTGCTCAGCAGAAGAGCTGAGCAGCTCTGAGTAAGAGATCATGAGGAAGCTGAATAGGATGATAATTTCTGGCTGTCTGTAAACGATCTGGATGTTCCTTGGGTGCTCTCTGTGACCTTCCTGCTAGGAAGGAATGTCATGGGAGTGGCGGACAGCTGTAGGTGCTTGTGCTGGGAAAGTAAATTAATTCAGTGCGTTCCTGTGAAACAGGTGGGTGGTGAGAAGCACTGAGGTACTACTGGCCCTGCCTAGGGCATGAGCAGGCTGACACTGACACTGCTCCTTTGCCCAAACTCAGTAATGCATCTGGTCATCAGCATGGGTGTCATGTGCAGAGGGGAACCACGTCACCCAGCCTAGGAAAGACTATCTCTGCTTTCTGTGTGGTGGTGATGCAGTGATCATGAAATGGGAGAGTTTTTAGTTCTTGGAGAAGTAAGGAAGGGCAACAGCAAAACTGCTGTCTTGGGCTCAGAGGGAAGACTTTGGCTTATTTGTCAGCTGCTTGAAAGAGTCCCTGGGGAGGCAGTCCTGAAGGGCAAAGAGATCCAGGAAGGCTGGGTATCCTTCAAGAGGGAAATCGTAAAGGTGCAGGAACAGGGTGTCCCTATGTGCCAAAAGACAAGCTGGTGGGGAAGAAGACTGGACTGGCTGAACAGAGGGTTTTGGCAGGAACCCAGGGTAAAAAATAGAGTTTATAAGCTTTGGAAGATGGGACAGGCAACTCAGGAGGATTTCAAAGGTGTGAGATTATGCAGGAAGTCCGAAAGACAAAACCCCTGTTAGAACTCAACTCTGGCCACTGTCAGAAGCAGTGACAAAGCATGTGTTCTTATGAATACATCAGCAATGAAAAGAGGGCTAACGAGAACCTCCATCATTTGCTGGATGTTGGGGAAAGCACTGCCACAAAAAAAGAAAGAAAAGGCTGAGGTACTTAAAGCCTTCTTAACCTGATTTATTTATAGTCTGAGCAGTTGTCCTAAGGGTACCAGCTCCCTGAGCTGGAAGACAGAGACAAGGAACACAATGAAGCTCCCACAATCCAGCAGGAAACAGTGACCTGCTTCTGCACTTAAACATGAGTAAATCTATGGGGCTGGGTAGAATCCACCTAAGGGTGCTCAGGGAGCTCATGGAAGAGCTCTCCAAGCCACTGTCCATGATTTACCAGTGGTCCTGATGAACCAGGGAGGTGTCACACAGCTGGAGTTTGTCTAATTTGATGCTCCTCTAAAAGAACATCTGGAAGAATGGCAGGAAGGAGGATCCAGGGAGCTACAGACCTGTCAGGCTGACCTCAGTGGCAAGGAAGGTCATGGAACAGCTCATCCTGAGTGCCATTGCACAGCATGTGCAGGGCAAGCAGGGAGTCAAACCCAGCCAGGATAGGTTCATGCAAGGCGGGTTTTGCTTGACCAACCTGATCTCTTTCCATGACCTGCCCCATATAAGAGGGAAAGGCTGTGGATGTTGTCTCCCTGGACCTTAGTAGAGCCTCTGACACCAATTCCTGCAGCATTCTACTGAAGAAGCCTGGGCAGGTGCACTGCTCACTGGTGAAAAAACCAGCTCGATGGCTGGGCCCAGGGAGGGGTGGAGAATGAAGTTACATCTGTCTGGTCAGAAGTGGTGCAGCCAGAGCTCAGTGTTGGGGCCAGTCCTGTTTAATATCTTTACTGATTATCTGGACAAGGGGTTTGAAGGTGCCTGTAGTCACTTTGTGGAGGAGTTTCATTAAGGGAGTATGTTTGAAAAGATGAAAATTGGAGTGGTATGTGTGAAATAAATCCCTAAATATCAACCTGCCAATCATTTTTCCCTTTCTTTTTACAGGTGAAGTCACAGTTCGAAAGCCGGGCAAACACGAACTGTGCTGCCTTTACAGCCATCGTATATAAGACTCAAGTGGTTGCTGGGACAATGTACTTTATTAAGGTTTGTATATATTGTAGGAGGGAGTGTTTTGGAATTAAATGATACAGGTGACTTGCAGAGTGGCTTACAGCTAGAAAGAGAAGCAAACATCACAGGGAACTGTCTGATCCAAGAGAAGCTGGGACTTCTCCCAACTCCAAATGCTTATAAAATTCCTCTGTTTGGTACTACTGTAAGCAAGAATATAAATATTATAAAACATGCCCTGTGCTTATTCAGATGTGACTGGTAAGCTTCTTGGGATCATCCCCCTCAATGACTGTAGATTGCCTTCCCAACTCAAAATTATTTCAACAAGTCATAACTGGTCTCCTGTTTCCTTTCAAGAAAATAGTGTCCAAGTCCTTCAGTTGTGTTTGTTGGGATGAAATTGAATTCAGCTTGAGGAACTGATAGAGAGATAGTCAATTTTGTGATGCAGTGCATGCATGTCTGCTGACTAGTTTTGCATGCAAGCAGGTGTGTTGATGTTTTGGTCCTGTGTCAGGTGCTGCAGAGGTACAGCCTGCCTGCTGGTTCTTTCTGTGTTTTCAAAACCCCCTCTGTGCTGCAGAGGAAAAATGGGTAATGCTTAATTTGGAGCCCTCTGATAGCACCGTTTCTCCTTTACTGGAAACTCTGATGGATGTGAGCAGCTTTCTGTGAACTATCACAGAAGAAATGGCTGGGTGTATTTTTCATCTGAAGGCCAGCAAGCACTGCTGAACAGCAGACTGGCCTTCTGGAGCAGAGCAGCCATGGCTTGTGACTGCTGAAACCCCACGTGTGTGTGGACATGTGCCTGGCAGGGTGTGCCCCATTGGCAAGAGAATTGGAAGAATTCTTTTATTAGAGAAATTGGCCTGTAATGTTTGGGGGAGATAATTCTGCAGAGAGAGACACTGTGAGCATTAGCTCCACACTTCTCATACTTAGTTGAGCCCAGAAGGACAGAGGCTGCCAAATATTCTTCTTTCCCAGGTGCTCCTTTAAAAGAACTCTTAACTCAGAAATGAAGATTGATGTATTACTGAATGTGGAAGAAATCCATTTGTAACACTAGAAAAGGATGATTTATCTCTTCTTTCCCAATTTTACCAGTGGTGGCTAAGTTCCTCATTTTACCATTAACTGGAACAAACTTGGCCACCACACGACTCATTCTTTAATATTTCTGAGTCTTCCACCTCACTGACGTTTTACCAGCAGACTTACAGCTGAGATGCAACTCAGACCAAGCATAGCAGCACACTGCAACCACCAGAAAGCATGTAGAAACCTCTTGGAGCCTAAGGCATTAAAGTTTCCATGTCCCTCACTGAGGCAAAGTTTAGCACCTGTTGTGCTTAGCTCTGTAAGAATGAAATTTTACAGCTTCCTACCAAGGCTTTATGTGAGGACTTGCTAGGAGGGAGGGTGAAGTTCTTTGATGAGTATTTATTCCAGGCACTCCCAAAAGCACCAGGATGTGTCAGGTTCCCTGTTCAGACAGGGATGTGTTTGGAGTAACTCTGCAGACCAGGGATCCTGGTTTTCAGGTTGTCATTGCTTCTCAGGACCATGTGCTGGTCTTTCTGTATTAGATCTTTCTGTACCCTTTGGGAGCTGACATGGTGTCTGCACTGTGTCCCATCCCAAAGTCATGGAGGTTTCCTCATTGTCTCTTGTCTCCCACGAGTGTGCCAGGAAGCTGTGAGCAAATGTACTGGCATCTTCGTGACTGAAACAGGACACCATCAAAACCTTTCTCCTGTTGCATCTTCTGGGGCTTCCACAACCAAGCCATTCTGCTCATTTTCTCTTCACCAGAGTCTGAGGGTTTTTAATAGTTTTCTACAGGTGTAGACAGTTCCTGCCACCAGTTACTGTGCAGACATGGATAAGAGCTGTTGAAGCAAAAATGAAGGTACATCTAAAATTAAGGTCCTGTGCAAAGATGTTCTTTCAAGAATGTAAAGAACAGCCTTTTGTTTCAACCTGCTTTGAGTTCATGATCCTCACTTCCCCACTCTTTTGGTTTCTAGGTCCAAGTTTCCAATGCCGAATATGTCCACCTAAAGGTGTTTCAGAGTCTTCCTCAAGAGAACCAAGGTCCCAGCCTTGTCAGTTTTCAGACTGGCAAAACCAGAGATGACCCTCTGACCTACTTCTAAGACCTGATGAGGTGCAGTGCCTCACCTCTGCAAATCCTATGGGGGCTCTGCCTGTGATAGTAAATAAAATAAATTTGGAAAGCTATTGTCTATATTTTCCTTTTGCTGCTGACATACCTGCAGAGGTCTTTCTTGTTATCTTTCATGTCTGTCACAAGACTAAAATAAAGTATTTCTAATTAAGAAATAGAATAAACATAAGGTTATCTGGAATATAAAAAACACTTAAGGGAAAAAAGCTGAGCAAGATAATAATCACTAGTAAAAATGAGAGACTAGAACACTAAAGCACCAGTCAAAGATGCCATTTCAAGTCAAAAGAAATGTTTATTATTATAAATGCAGAAATGCTTGTCCAGCTTAAGTTCCTTTCCTGGACTTTCCCGTAGGACCGAGAACATAAGCAAGCTGGTTTGGTATTTTAAACTCACACACCCTCTACGGGACATTACATGCTACTGCTGCAAGAAGATGAGCATGATTACCAAGGGAATGTTTGTTTCAAACTACTGTAAGCCTCTTTCTCTTCCTTGCGAAACTGCTTCAGCTCGAGTCTCTCATCAGGTCTTTGCCCATAAAATACTAAGTACAGTTTAAATCTAAATATTTAAATCACATATATTCACAGTTGCAAAACAGAACCGAAAAGACTGAGCTTTTCTTCTTGCTCCTTGCTGCAAATATATGAGTGCTGGTGCCATTCCCCTTCCAATTTCCAGACCAAGGAAGTTCAAAAACAGGACTTAGCCACAGTATTCTGGTTAAGATGCACTAAAGCCAAGTTGCAATAAAAGTAGGGTTTACATTAGTGCAGGTAATAGGAGAACCCTGTGACTCTCAGATTTGGAGATTGCACAGGAAGGGAATGGCATAAAAGAAATTTTTTTTTTTCCCTATGATAAAAAAGGACTTTTTTTTCTGCCTTTGTTGGCACAGGAATCAACATTTTGCAGCCTGTAGGAAATGCACATAAGAACCAACTAGGGAAACACAGCAGAGAAGGTTGCTAGAAGTAAGCCAGTTCATCGTGCTTTGCCTTGCTGCCCTGGTAACTGTGGAGGCTCAGCTGCTCGTTCTCGTGGGGGAGGCTCTTGAACACCCGCAGGTGCATGAACTCCTCATTCCCAACATGGACCTGCAAAGCATGAAAGCCAGTGAGATCCCTGCAGGGGGAGCAGCCTGCAGCAGGAGGGGTGGCAGAGGCTGGGCTGGTTTGAGGGTGGAGCAGCAGACAGGCAGTAAGAAAAAACAGTGATTTGTTTTAAACCAGACTAGGAGCTGTGACTTTGCAGAAATGTGACCTAATCTTCCCATGAAAATAGAGAAAAGATGATCTCTCTAGCAAATAGGGAGAGGGACTGGGAGGTGGATATTTGTGGCTTTTTATTGTACAATTTTTTTTCTTATGGTCAAATCATAAGCATTCTCCTCTAGCTAAGAATAAAAAAAACAACATTCCAAATATTATATATATTAATGTAAAAGAAACAGTCCAGCATCCTCTACCTTGATGAAGTAGTTTGTTCCAGCAACCACCTGAGTTTTAAACTCCACTGCAGTGAAGACATCAAAGGTTTTCCCTTCTTTTTCTTCTAGCTGAGCTTTTACCTTAAGGAAACAATAGGTTCTTTAAGACTGATGCAAGATTCAAGTATTCAGAACTTAAGGCTTACAGATCACTGCTGCTGAATTCCCAGACAGAGTTTTTTGCTTTTCCAGGACATTAAAAGACCAAAATGAATCATGTTAAGTTTTGTGTGAAAACAGACCCGGAATCTAGGGAGGTGGCAAAGTTGAGACCAAGGTGGGTGTCAGTCACTACAGGCCTGGACAACACTTGAGAGTTCTTTCAGCATGCCTGCTGGAATCTGTGTTTTCAAACTGCAAAACAGTGCTCAAGAAGTCATAATAACCCATCCATACCCTAGAGGGAGCCATGAACTCCTGAGATGCAGCTCTTCTCTCCTGCACTGGGCAATCTAGCACATTGTGGCTATATGGAAAATTCTTGGTCAGGAAAGCAGAAGACTTCAGCCTTTGTTTTGCAGGGCAAGATGAGTTGGTCTTGGAGTCTTTGCTTGCAAGTCCTTGCCTGCTCCAGGCTGCACCTCCTGCATTGCATCATTGCACAGCCCTTCCTTCACTCCCAGGGCAGTGGTACCAACAACAGATTGATCCTCCAGCTATATGGTGTATTCTCCTTCTTCCTAAATTCAAGAAAATAGATACATCTGCACTATTGCCTAAATCCCACATGCTTCCTTGGGGGGAAAAAAGTGCCAATTTGCTATTGCTCAGGTGCTGTAGGTGAAGCAGGAACACAAACAATTCCTTCAACAGGATGTTCTCCCACCTTCCCAACTTCCAGAACTCTGGTGGCTTTTCAGTGACCATCCTGTCCCTGCAAGCTGTGTCCATGCTTTTTATCTTCTCTCAGAGGCCATACCTCTACACTTCCTCCAGGTTATGATCAGTATGTCACAAGCAAGATAATAATGTTTGGATACTTTTCTGTTTGTTTTTTGCCATATCTAAGCTGCATTCTAAGATGCACTGAAGGGCACAGCCCCAGAAAGCACCATGATTCAGTCCTGCCTCCTCCCTTACTCCTGAGTCAGAGGCTGGAGCAAGTGGTTTCAGTTTTCATCACTAGAGATACTTTTACAAATTTTAAGCAGCAAGGCAGATGTAAGTCTCCTGGTGACCCTATCCGGTTCTGTGCTCCTTTAGCAGTCCTAGGCACTGTGCAACTTTGGTTTCTGAGGTCACTAAATCAGCCCAGCTCAGCACATTTTGTATTTCCACCAGCAAGCTGAACACTGGGCCCTGGATGCAGACAGCTCAGTCCTGCAGCTGCAAGCTTTTCAGGGTGTTATCACATGTGGCAGTGAGTCACCACAGCATGTGACAAATGAACATCCTGAGTCAGTGTGGAGAGGGAGATCCCAGACAGAAATACTCTCCCAAAGACCTGGTTCTTGGTCTCAGTCTGTATCTGGGAGTCCTGGTGTTACCAAAGTTAATGGCATACTGGGCTGCATAAGCAGGAGCCTAGCCAGAAGACAGGCAAGTGATTATTGCCCTTTACTCGGCCCTTGTTAGAAAATGTGGAATCCTGTGTCCAGTTCTCAGTCCTCAGTACAAGGCAGACATCAATAAACCGTAGTGATCTCAGTGAAGGGTCACCAGGAGCACTCCACGAGTACACCAGGATGGCTGGAGCACTTGTGCTGTGAGGAGAGGAAGAAAATGAGCTTGCTCAGCCCAGGGAAGAGAAGGCTTTGAAGATAACTTTCCAGTACCTACAAGAAGCTAGGCTCTTTCCAGGGATGAAACTTTCCAGATGGCAGAAGAAAGAGACACAATGGTCATAAAGTGAAACTGGAGATACAAAGAGAAACGTTTCCCCTGAGGACATTCCTGCACTACAGGAGGAGCGTTCAGAGAAGCTGTGCATTTTCCATTCTTGGAAGTTTTCAGGACCTGACAGGACAAAGCTCTGAGCAGCCTGAGGATGCTGACCCTGTGCTCAGGCAGGAGGTGCAGTCCCTTCCCACCAAAACAATCCATGATTCAGTCACAGGGCTGGAAATTATCATGCCCTGAAGGCTCTCTACTGCCCTATAACTAAAAAGCAGATGGTTCAGAATCACCCTGAATAAGCACTGTCAGTTATCAGTGAGAAGCCAAAGCTGAGCAGGCCTGGGTGGAAATCCTTGCTGTGAAGAGGCTGTTCCTATGATTATGTTCCTAAGCCAGACACTGCCGAAGGAAGCCTTCCTGCCCTGTGTGACACTAACATCTGATCTGGGTCACAAAACTGAACAACATTTGGCCGTCACAAGGATTCTTATGAAACTGTAAAATGAAGGCAAGAACTGGAAAAGCAGGAACAGGGAATATGTTTATAGCAAGCAAACTGGCGGGCTCTAATAAATCTCCACAAGGACCTGACTTTAAGCAAACAAAATTATTTGAAAAGGCTACCTCAATTTACCTCAATTTAACAAAACTGATCTTTTCTCCGTCAATGTCCAGATGAGGATATGACTGCATGGGCAAGTTTGGGTTTTCCCACCTGTATTTCATTAAAAGAAGTAATTTAAACTGACAGTCAAAACAAGTTGGATAAACTTTAAAGTATTTAGGTGATTTAAATGAAAACATGAGAATTTCGGTTAATTCTGTTCACTTCTGAATCCAACAGGGTGATTTTTTGGATTACCAAACCACTGCAGTCTATGACAGAACAGAAAATCAGGATTTCAAACCTAGTTTTAAGCCCATGTTAATTGTATATCTGCATTACCTTTAACATGACGTGCAGGCCTTTCCACTTCAAAGCAATAATTATGACTCTCAGCAATTCTCAATCATGTACTTATTACTGCAAACTCAGTGTAGTGCTTAGGAGATGCACATCTCTCCCTTTTCCTAAAACACAGAATCCTCAGACTGTACAAGCTAAATGTTAATTTCAGTGTCTGCTGTGCCTTTGGGTGCTCTGTATGTGTTTGGGAATTGCTCCTGCCTGGGGAACAGGCCCAGGCAATGACAAAGAGTGTCAGAAGCTGGAGCACATCCTTCATCTTGTCTCTCCAGCTTACCACATCCTAGCTGACAAAGCCAAAAAGCAGAAGGAACTTGAGTTTCCATGACAAAAAGAACACGTGCTTTCAAAGAACTTAGTTGCACACTGGCATTTTTAGAGTAAAAGCATGTGTTCCAATAACATGAGCAGTAACCCAAGGTACTGTAAGCAGTATCAGGATTTGGAGCTGGCAATAGCTGGAGTGAATTCTGTGCTGGAGAAATGCAGAAGCAGCGAAGAAGCTTTCTTGCTTATTCCATGTTTCACCCCCCTCAAAAAAACCCCAAACAATCCCCCCCTTCCCACGCACACAACAAAAACCCAAAACCCCAAAGGCACGCACAAGGCTCAGATTTTGTAAGAAGCACCGGAGCTCGTTCCCCGAGCTCAGGGCAATGTCTCTGTCGGGTTTCCCCGCTCACCCAGCGCTGCCCACGCTCCCTCTGGAGTCAACAGGGCCACGCCAGGCGGGCACAGGGAAGGAGAGCTCCGGGAGCCGGCGACCGCTCGGCGCATTCCCCATTCCTGCCACCTTTTACACCGGGGGGCGGTGTCTCGGCCCCGGCCGCGCAGAGCAATGGCCGAGCTCGCCCCGGGCCCCGGACAGGCCCTGCGCGGCCTTGCCGCCCCTGCGGGACCCTCCCGCGGAGTGCCCCGGCCCCGGCCCCTCACCTGCTCCGCGATCCGCTGCGTCTCGTCGGTGGCGGGCCGGGCCGCCGAGGCACCCCCGCACAACATGGTGGCACCGCTCCGCTTCTCCCGCTCCGCTCCGCGCCGATCCCGCCCCTCGGGCGGTGCCGGGGCGGTGCCGGGCCCGGGAATCGCGGGCCGGGGTTCGGCGGCCGAGAGAGGCCGCGCCCGGCAGCGCCCAGCCGCGGGGGTCTCATCGCGGCCCAACGCTGCCCGAGCTTGGCGGGGTGGGCTGAAAACAGAAATGGCCCAAAGCGACACTTGCGGTGAAAGCTGCCGGCAGAATTTATGCTGCGGCCTGGACAGAAGGGCGGCAGCCGCTCCTCGGCAAGAGGCGCCTCCGTGCCAGCCCCGCGTGGGAACACGGCTGCCCTCAGCCGCTGCCTCTTCCCTTCGCCTGTGCCACCTTTCTCAGCAGCGGCATGTTCGCTGGAGCCCCATGGAAAGTTCCATCTCCAGACTCCCTCGTTCACCACGTTCATCATTCCCTCTCCCGGGCTGATTTTGCCGGTCCTCAGCCAGCAGAAGGCGGTGGTGAATTATCCAGCCTCTGGGAAATCCCTGGGAGATTTCAGTCTGAATGTTCAGGTCTTTACCTAAATTACCCCACAATTTAAACATCCAGACTCTTGCAAAACCAACAACAAACACCTACCTTCCTCCTCCTGCTTTGCAGCACCCCTTGGTAAAGTCGGTCAATACAAACCTAAATTTAACAATAGCAGATCTTGCAAACTGAACAGAGCTCATGGACTGACAAGGAGGACATGGTAAGAAGCATGAAATATAATGGGGAAGGTTTTCTTTCCTCTGGTATCATCTATAAATAAATTCTCTCCTGGAGCTTTGGGTAGGCAGAGTTCTGCCCGGTTTGTGAGGAGACTGGGGATGAAGGGTTGGGCTCTTCACTGGGATAGTTCCCAAGTTTTCCAGTGGAAATCCCACCTGATACACTGTTGTTGCTTCACTACTGGATGGTTCAGGAAACCCCACACTGGGGCAAGCTGTCAAGTGGATTTTTGACCCATGGGTGGGATGAGGCAGCCATTCACGTGGGCATCTTCTGATAGGAAATGTCAGTGGAGGTTCTCAGGCTCGTGCTTTCAACAGAAGAATGTTCCCCAGGGTGTCTTCATCAGTGTTGTCATATGTGACACACGCACAGGCTTTTGGACAGGTGCCTGACCAAGCCTTCTCCTCTCCTGGACTTGACAGGATGAGAACATATCCCCCTCTCTGTGAACCCCTCTGAGAAAGGGGTTTGGTTACAAAGCACCTTCCCAAAGGGGTCCTTTTTTACCAGCCTTCCCTTGTGCACAGCGTGTCTGTCACCGCTGTCAGCTGCTGCAGCAGCTTTCATGCAGCATTGGAGCTGGAGGCTTAGGGGTCTGTGTATGAGAGCAGGGAGGGTGGAAGGCGCTTCCCCAGCAAATACAGCACAGTTGGCCATGCTAAAAAATGACTGCAGCTCTTGGAGACTCCATGTGTGACAGGATATAAATTCCTCTTAAGTAAATGTAAAGAATGAAGAACACCCAAAGAATGAAAAGCACTCAAATGTCAATATCATCTACTGTATACATAGTTAGTGAATATTGCTCTCCAAACAAGGCAGCTGATGGTGACTTTCTGTTTCTTACACTGTCTGTGTTCATACACAGTCTTTGGTTCGTAAATTGTGTCGTTTTCATTTTACTCATTGAACTCCTACTTGTTTCAGTGCTGTCAGCTTCACTTGAGGGGCTACTGAGCTGGGTTTGCTCCAATAGGAATGATTCACTAGCACTAAAACTACTTGGCTATTACAATTTTTGGAAGTGTAGGTCGTAACCAAAATGCTTTTTTTACCCCTTTATGCCATCTAGTGCTCATCCCTGATTGTGCAGTTAGACTCAGGAGACCCCAGGGCTCAATTCCGTACCCTAAACTGAGCCCATGGGCTACAGTCAGCAGCCTGGGGAAGGGACCTGGGTTTCAGAAGCAGTAAGCAGCTCTTGCTGGGTCCCGAGGTAGAATATCATTTCCAAAACTGGGGCTAGAAGGATTTGTGTTTTCAAATTCTTTTTTTTTTACCCCCAGTCATCTGAGGCATGGTTTTTAATCAAGTATTGTTGTTTGCAAGCCTTACAATTATAGCTGGTGTAGTGGTGTAGTTAAAATTTGAGCCCACTCCAAGGGGGATGTAACAGATCAACAAAAGGGTTAAAATAACTTGTCTGAATAGCCTGCTTCTTGGGGTTCTGGACTTCCATTTTGCTCCTGTAAGTCAAAACTTCTCTTCCTTGTCAACAAGTGGAGGTGGCAAAACAGAGTTTTTATACAGTAATGTCACCTGTAAGTTTTATTTGCCTGCCCTGGCAGAAGAACAACCAAGCAAAAACAGTAACAAGAGAATTGTGGTGTTTTCCCCAATGCATACAAACACAGTCCTTTTGTCTCTGCCCACACTGAGCTGCAGGCCCATCTACCTTTCTGTAAGAGGTCTAGACTACCTTCATGCTTAATGAGGGAGGGTACTGACATCTTCCTGACACATGCTCGTTCTTCCATGGGGAATCTGGGAAGAGGGAGTTAAATTCTGCAATGTAACCCTAGCCCCTCCCACCAGGCTGTCCAGGGGTGTTTTTTCCTCTCATCAGGCTGCAACAAATTTTGCTGATAATGACTCTCTTCAACTTTTCCAGCATGAATCAAAAAGAACCAGTCATGCCTTAAGAAACCAGGAGCATTTATGTCTGCTTTAAGAAGAGTATGACAAAAGTAATCAAGTTCTGCTATTCTCTCTGCTGAAGTCCTTACTGTTTTTCTTTAGGTACAGTCCATCATTCTTGTGCTAGGTGCCCTCTCTTCAAAATGGGAAATAACCTAGGTGGCCTTTAGGAGCAAAACTGTATCCAGTTTATCCATTTGTCTCTATGTGTGTCCAAGAACCCAGGCCTGAATGTCCTTCTCACCCAGTCACCTACCAGTACGCACACTTCAGATATTCATCTGCTCCAGTGATCCTGTTACCACAGCTGGGGGTTCCTCCTCCATCCCTAACTCCTCCATTTCTCCTCATTTCATTTGCTGTGTCAGGCCCACCAGGACTGGCGCAATGCTCCATGTAGGTGTGAGGCAGATTAATATGGCAAAGCACAACACTGACTATGGTGTGAAAGGGTTAGCCATGTATGCCTTGTGGGATAGTACAGCAGCAACACTTGGTTAAGCATACAACTACTAGTGACATAATCAATCAGGGATACATCTCATTGTGCTTTTGCAGCGTTCTCCGGGAGGGATTTACAAGCTGTTCTCCCCCTCCACCAAAACAGGCAGGCTGGAGGTAAAACTATTCCAGCTGGAGGAAACCAGTAGGAACCTAAGTAGCTTGGTCTAGTGCAATGGAGTCTACGGAGAATATTGTCCAGTATTTCCTGCTGGGCAGAAAGGAGAGACTGGGACATTACTAAATATAAATAGCAGGGCGCTCTGTCACATTAAATACTTTACATGTTCACACCCTTGGCTGTACACAGCATGCAGGATGTTTGGGGCTTTTTTATTTTCCCCATGACTGTGCTTTCCTGAAGTGAAACCGTGTACCTTGCTTTTGTAGAGCTGAGAGTCCTGATGCACATGGTTACAGATCACATATACTGGATAAAGAGGGAATATTATACATAGTGGGAAAGAGGAATATTATACATAAATGTAAAAGCAGGGTATAGTGGAATTGCCTAGTGCCTCCCATAGTCAGCTGAGTTGCAGTCTGGCAGGAAAAGCTTACGGAGGCAAGGCAGCATGCAGACTTCTGCTTAAGCCCCATCAGAGGCGACCTTCACTTGTCCTTCTGAGATGTCCTGGTTTCAATAAAGCAAATGTAAATTCAATCCAAGGCTCCCCAGACACAGTCCTTCCTCTGAAGGCACATTACCCTGCCAGTGCTAACATTAAAGGTGTGGTGGGGCTGTGTCACAGCAGTGTGTCTTTGTTGCCTTTCCCCTTCAGAAGCAAGAGGTGAGCAAGTTCCTCTTGGGGGCTGGTGTACTTTTCACAATCTTCTTTCGTTAGGAATGTACCGTGTTCTCTGTGACAGAGCCACCTCCAGTGCCTATAAAATTTCGGGAGTTAACCGATGGCAGGGAAGGCTCTGCCTCAGGGCTTGGTACCTCTTCTTTGTTGTCTCCCACCACTGACTCCTGCGAGCTGGTCTCCGGGCTGGAAGCTGCCTGGAAGCTGGGCTCAGCCCCTAGGGGCTCATTGATCTGCAGGGGAAGCAGGGCCCGGTGCCGCATCAGGCTGTCATCGCTGTTCTGGGCCTCCAGCGAGTTCCGGCGCTTGGCGTTCCTGTTGGCCATGGCATTCTTCTGTGGCTCCTCGAAGCTCAGCGACAGGGTCACTGTTCCACTCCCAAAGCTGACTTTTTGCTTGCACCCACGCTGCTGCTGGCGCTGCCGCTCGGCGCAGGCTGGTAGAGGAAAAGGGTCCTCGTGGTTGCTCTTGCTGCTGATGGAGGAGGAAGGGGTGGAGCCAGTGGAGCCCCCCAGGCTGTTGGAGCGCTTGCGGGACACGTTGCTCCGTCTCAGTGTGGCCCTGGCAGCCACTTTGAAAGCGTGGGCAGCTGTGCTGCAGCGCACCTCCTCGATTGTGTTGCGGGAGGGCTTGAAGAGGATGATGTAGACTTTGTTGAAGAAGATGCAGGCCAGAAGTCCAAAGCTGGCAGCCAGTATTGCAATCACCTCCACAGCAGACACAAACTTGCCGTATGTGCTGGCGTAAGCAGGGATGAAGGAGATCCAAACGATGAAGAATATCAGCATGCTGAAGGTGATGAATTTGGCCTCGTTAAAATTCTCAGGCAGCTTTCGAGACTTGAAGGCAAAGAAGAAACAGATGGCCGCCAGTAGGCAGGTGTAGCCAATGAGGAAGCCGAGGGCCATCAGCGAGCCTTCATGGCAGGTGATGAAGATGATCTCATCCTCCAGTTCATGATTTCGGTAGCTGGACGGTGGGGCCGTGTAGAGCCAAATCACACAGATGACAATCTGCACAAACGTGCACAAGAAGACCAGGAGAAACTGAAGGTTGAGGCCCCACCACTTTCGGTGGAGACTCGTGGGGATCTTTGCCTCGAAGAC